GAAGGTCAAATCAACAGAACTTGGTAATGGAATATGTGTAAGTGTATGTGAGGAGAGGCTGTGAGAATAGGAAGAGACAAAGATGATTCCCAGGCTTTCATACTCTAGAGAGTGTTATGCTTGTTTTGTTTTGTTTGTAGTGCTAAGGGCAAAATGATGAATTCAATGTCCCCTCCAGGTTCATTTCAGCCTAGGGCTAAGGTTTTTAAATTTTCTTCCTTCCTAGCCTGATTATCTCTTTAAAAGTACAGAGGAGCCAGCACAGTGGTGATGCATGCCTGTAATCCCAGCTACTCAAGAGGCTGAGCGGGGAGCATGGCTTGAGCCCAGGAGTTCAAGGCCAGCCTGGGCAACATAAGGAGATTCCATCTCTAAAAAAAGATAAAAAGAGGCTGGGTGCAGTGGCTCACGCCTGTAATTCTAGCACTCTGGGAGGCCGAGGCAGGAGGATCACTTGAGCTCAGGAGTTTGAGACCAGCCTGAGCAAGAGTGAGACCTCGTCTCTACTATAACTAGAAAGAAATTAGCCAAACAACTAAAAATAGAAAAAAATTAGCTGGGCATAGTAGTGCATGCCTGTAGTCCCAGCTTCTCGGGAGGCTGAGGCAGGAGGATTGCTTGAACTCAGGAGTTTGAGGTTGCTGTGAGCTAGGCTGACGCCATGGCACTCTAGCCCGGGCAACAGAGCCAGACTCTGTCTCAAATAAATAAATAAATAAATAAATAAATAAATAAATAAATAAATAAAAAGAAAAAAAGAGAAGAAAAAGGAAGCACAGAGGGAGAGCAAAAGAGTCCAGGGGAAAGAATGTTGAATGTTTTTATTTCTTTTTCTTGAAGTATGCTTACATAAACTGTACAAATCTTAAATGTACAGTTTTGATGAATTTTTACATATGTAAACATCAGTATAATCACCACTCAGAAGATATAGAATTTTTCAGAACACTAGAAGGCTCCCCAAAGTCCCCTACCAGTTAGTAACCACCCCTAAGTATAGTGATTACTCTGACTTCTTTTACCATTCATCAGTTGTGCCTATTTTTGTGCTTCCTAAAAACAAAATTAGGCATTTACTAATCACATTTAGGAATTATTGCTTTGTGTTTGACTTCTTTCACTCAACATTGTAAAATTCATCCATACAGTTTTGTCTACATTAAATAAAATATGGAGACGAATCTCTGAAATTAAAATGCTTTAGGCCAGATGCAGTGAAATCCCAGCACTTTGAGGAGCCAAGGGGGAAGGACTGTTTGAGCCCAGGAGATTGAGGCTGCAGTGGGCTATGATGATGCCACTGCATATTCCAGCCTAAATGACAGAGTGAGACTTGGACTCTACCAAAAAAAAAAGTTTTATTTGTGAAGAAAGGATGCAATCGCAATTTGGGGCATGCACACAGACTGGGTGGTCTTCCACATGGCCAAAGAACAAAGAGAAGGTTGGTGGTTTTGTATAAAGGAGAAATGTTACATGTTGCTCTTCAAGACAGTTCATTGGCACTGGTAAGGTTATGAGGAACTGGCAAGCTATGACTGGTAAGTGATGGCAATGGGTAAAATTATTCTTCCAGTCACAACAGGTTGTTTCAGCAGCTATTAAGTAAAACTGATTTCAGGTTACAGAAAGCAGATTCAAGCAGCCAAGCTCACAGAGAATTACATTCTTGGAGCAATGTTATGTGCCCCAAGTACTCTTCACCCCACCCCCACCCCATTCCACCCCTGCCCTCTGGACTCTATATTACTTGGGATGACTAAATTCTCAAGAATGACCTGATTCATGTGACCAACTTTCATGGTATTCATGTGTAGCACTGCTGTGTAATATTCCATTGTGTGAATATATCACAATTTATCTTTTCTACTGTTGATTGACATCTGACCATTTCCAGTTTGGGACTATTATGAATAATTCTTGTATATGCCTTTTTTCTTTTTCTTGGAGATAGAGTCTTGTTCTGTCACCCTGGCTAGAGTGTAGTGGCATCATCATAGCTCACTGCAACCTCAAACTCCAGGGCTCAAGCAATCCTCCTGCCTCAGCTTCTCAAATAGCTGGGATGCAGCCGCCACCATGCCTGGCTTATTTTTTCTATTTTTTGTAGAGATGGGGTCTTGCTGCTGCTCAGGCTGGTCTTGAACTCGTGACCTCAAGCAATCTTCCTGCCTTGGCCTCCCAAAGTGCTGGGATTATAGGCTTGAGGCACCGAGCCTGGGCACTGTACATGCCTTTTGGTGGAAATAAACACTTATTTCCGTTGGGTTTATAACCCAGAAGTAGAACTGCTGGATCATAGCGTATATATGTTTAGCTTTAGTAGGTGTTAATGAACCCATAAGGGAGGTTTAATATTACTCGCTGCACAGAAAGCCAATTACTGAGACAACAAGGATTGTTAAAGAAGAAAGGCTTTATTTCAGTGGACATGTGTACTGGGAGGAAGGAGGTATAGACTGCCTCAAATCCACCCTCCATCAACAGGGACAGGGGTTTTTCGGGAGGTGAAATGAATAATGCATGAGGGGAGTGAGCATCATGACATGTTTGGTGTGGAGAGCAGAGCATGCAAGCATAGTGGAAATTGTTACTACATACATCCCACGATCAAAAAATAGCAGACAGGCTGGGCACCATGGCTCACGCCTGTAATCCTAGCACTCTGGGAAGCCAAGGCGGGCGGATCCTTTGAGCTCAGGAGTTTGAGACCAGCCTGAGCAAGAGGGAGACCCCATCTCTACTAAAAAATAGAAATTAGCTGACAATTAAAAACATATAGAAAAAATTAGCTGGGCATGGTGGCACATGCCTGTAGTCCCAGCTGCTTGTGAAGCTGAGACAGGAGGATCACCTGAGCCTAGGAGTTTGAGGTTGCTGTGAACAAGGCTGACACCATGACACTCTAGCCCAGGCAACAGAGTGAGACTCTGTCTCAAAAAAAAAAAAAAAAATAGCAGATAAGTCCCTCCCAGGACAGGGATTTTAGTATTATAATGAGCTAGGGGTTAATACTGGTCATTTTCTCAGCCTTGTGTATATGCTCAGTGGGTCCTTGGGCACAATCTGTGGTGGGGTATCACTTATCTTGTCTTCTGTGGACAAACAGGTAGTGTAAGGCTTTGTAGTTATCTTGTGACTGCAAGAAGGCTCCATTGTTTCTGGGAAAGAAACTCAAAAGGGAATGCATCATTGCAACAGAAAGTTACAAAGTTCTGGTCAGCAAATCTTACTAGCCTGGGAACTTGAAACATAAGAGAATTACCAAAAAACAAAAAGACTGTAAAAAAATGTTTTCTTGCTTATAGAGCCAGTTATAGTGTATATATGTTTAGCTTTAGTAGGTACTGCTGAAGATTTTTCCAAATTGGTTATGCCAAATTACATGCTCACTAGCAATGTATGAAAATTCCAGCCATTCATTTCACCTTCTCACCAATACTTGGTATTATCAGTCTTTTAGAAGCAATTATGAACTTTTAAACTTCCAAATAGGCCTTCATTCCATTTCCACAGAAATAGCAAGCTCTGCTATGACATTGCAGATGGTTCCTTGGATGTCAAGAAGAAGTACACCAACTTCAAGAATGAGCCTGTAGCAGTGCCCTGTGTTCCCCTCTGACACTGGCAGAGAAGACCAGGATCCAAGCCCAACCCAGCCTGAGCCTAGGGATTCTCAAAGGATTCCAGACTCTTGCCCAATGGGCTCCTGGGTCATCCAGAGCATTGTGAGGTGACACAGAACTAGAATAACAGACTTAAAAAAGGAAGCTGACCCATCTCTGACCCATTCACTGTATGCATGCCTATACAGGGACAGGCCTGACCAAGTAAGATAGAGCTGTCTTTCCCAAGGTGGCATTAGGGGTTAGCAGCAGTGCCAACTTGGGATGGTGGAGGACCCTGCCTCAATCTGGCCTTTGGTTTGGCTTGGAAAACAAATTCATATCTCCTTGTAGGCAGAACTTCAGATGGGCCAACAGAGCTCCCTGGAGGTATGAGGCCTGAAGCCTGAAGGGACCAGCAGGTAACTGGGCACCACAGCCTGAGGCCAGTCAGCCCCAAGCAAGAGCATCCTGCTTCCTCGGAGGGTTTCTTTGCCTGAGGAAAGTGGAGGCTGGCAGTCGTATTCCTTCAGGATCTTCTGAATATGGAGGCAAGGGTGATCCTGAGGAAGCCCCTTTGTTAGGTGGCCAATGCCAGCTTAAAAACGGACTGACAAGCCAAAAATGGCCCTTCTTTCTTGTGGTTCAGAACTCCCAACCTGCCCTAACGGAGACCCAACCAGAGCTGGGAGAGTGAGGCAGGCAATGACAGAAAATTACAGCGTGAGGCCTATTTCATAAAGCACAAAAGACAATGTGCTTCGATAGCAGGTCATGGGAATCTATTACAGGGGAGGCCCGGTCACACTGTAAGGTGACTTAGGGGTTGTTGTGGTTCCCACAAAACAAAGGGTCAGGAGGAGGAGGACAGCAACACTGGGAGGAAAGAAGTGGAGCGGATAATGGAGCCTGAGGGCGCCCCAAGGGTGTGAAGAGGGCGGCCTGGGCTGCACGTGCTGGGCAGATCCTCTGATATGGGAAAGTCTGGCCATGCTGCCCTAACTTTCCAGCCAGACTTCACCTTTGAGAGGTCGGGGTGGCTTCTGCCTCCTCCTTTTGCCCCCCACCCCGTGTCCAGCCCTGGGCCCCAGGGCACGCTTTGTGATAGGTTTGGGAAACGTTTGGTGCTAGATAGGAGGTAACCAGCAGCAGGTGCGGTGTAAAGACGTGTGCTGGCAGGGATTCTTCCCGCAACAGTGCTGGGAATCCTCACTTCCGGGTGCAAGCGGAGAGGTGGGCTGGGGTCCGAGGTCAGCAGCCAGAAACTAGATTCCCTTGCTCGTCCACCTCCAGCGGCCGCCAAATGACCGTTGGAAAAGGTCGGGCTACGGCTAGGCAACAGCCGCAAACTCTCCCCAAAGCCCTAAATCCTGCCTGGCTGGTTCCGGCGGTGTCTCCGTGGCGACGCGCTGCGAAGTGCGGCTGCGCGAAGGTGACGGAGCTCGGGCGAGGGGGAGGGGGTGTTTTGGTTCTATTTGCTCGCCGTCCTTTCCAGACTCGGTCGTCGGAAAGCTTTTCGTTCCTGCTTTTCCTTCCCCTTTCCCTTCCCTTTCCCAGTCCCAGTCCTCCCCCCCTCTTTCCCATCTGTCTGCCTCCCATTTTTCTGCCGCCGCCCCGGGTCCGGGCCATTTTCCGGGCCGGGCGCACTAAGGTGCGCGGCCCCGGGGCCCAGTATATGACCCGCTGTCCTGCTGCCCCTCGCTTCCCCCGCCCCATGTGGCTGCGGGAACGCGGTGGCGCTGCCCACTATGGCCCGGAAAGCAGTTAGCAGGAAGCGGAAAGCGCCGGCCTCGCCGGGAGCTGGGAGCGACGCTCAGGACCCGCAGGTGAGGGCTGAGAGGCCGGGACCTGGGTAATGAGGCCCAGGCACCAAGAGGAGCTTTGGGTCCGAGATGCGGGTACAGGATATCGGGTCCAAGATCTGTAGTCATAGACGAGACAAGAATGGGGCCCGGGCCTATAGAGTCAGGGCCAGGCTCTTTGGAGTTCACTGGAAAGCAGATAGGCCAGAGCGGTGAGAAGCCAAAGGGGAGCTCAGAAATGGGGCATATTCCTCGGGGGACGTGCAGTCAGGAAGAAACCAGAATCTTGGCTTTAGAGAAAGGGGAAAGCGAAGTTAAGGGGAATCGGTAACAAAACCAGCCTCCCAAGAGATACTAGGAGGGAGAGTCTTTCAGGGCCCCCAGGAAGCTGGAATGATTGCGTCCCTCATCAAGGAAGGAGTCTTCCTGTGGATATGAAGTCATGAGCTGGGCCTTTTGGCACTTGAAACCCTGTAGAAGAAACAGCAATTCCCAGGTATCATCTCTATACCGTCCTCTTTGGAGAGGAGGGCCTTCTTGGACTGGGATTCGGACTCTGGTTTCCCCGTGCCCACCACCCCGTTGGTGTTTGATTTTTCGAATTCTGCAACTGCCTTCTGCGCGGGCGTGATGATGGAGGAGCGGCCATTGATAGTTCATCCCTGAGACCCCAGTCTGGCTCCTTGGGCTGCACCTTCCATGCTCCGCGGGGAGTACAGGCTGAGAGGGAGAAGGGGACTAGGTAGAGATGCACCCCAGGTCGGTATGGAAATCACTTGGGCATTCATTCTTTTCCCTATCAAAAATAGCTATAGGAGATCTGAATCCTTCACTCTTAAAAGGTCTAGTAAACCTTTTGGTCTGTTCTTTTCTGCTTCCATTCCCTTGTTATTCAGCCCTTGTAATTCACATAGGTAAGTTTGACTATGAGCAACATCTTTTCAATGTTGGAAGAGTTAAACTGGACTTTCTGGATCGCAAGACTCATTCTGTTTTGTTTGTATTTGTGTTGTATGTAAATCCTGCGGGATGAGTTCTTGGTGATTTCTCTAATACAGTGGATCTGTTATGCTAAATGAAAGTAGCTGAAGCCCTGATTTTTAATGTTGCTTTCCACAGTTTGGCTGGGATCACTCTCTTCACAAAAGGAAAAGACTCCCTCCAGTGAAGAGATCTTTAGTTTACTACCTAAAGAACCGGGAAGTCAGGCTACAGAATGAAACCAACTACTCTCGAGTGTTGCACGGTTATGCAGCACAGCAACTTCCAAGTCTCTTGAAGGAGAGAGAATTTCACCTTGGGACCCTTAATAAAGTGTTTGCATCTCAGTGGTTGAATCATAGGCAAGTGGTGTGTGGCACAAAATGCAACACGGTAAGTGTGTCTGGGAAGACATGAACTTTGCACTAAGTCCTGAATATATGGCTCTAGAATTTCTCACTGCTCATTTTCCCCATCAGTTTCATTCAGGAGGGAAATGCATTACTCTCTATTTTCTCATGTTGATGATTTCTTCCTCTATTTTTCTGTGCCTCTTCTCACTTCTACATTTCTCTTCTGATAAGTCTTCAAAGAAGTGTATATCTTTAGGCCTCTTGCCCACTGGATATGCTGCTTCTAATTTTTTTTTTTTTTGCCTCATCTTTTTATGTTGCTTTTAAGTCAAGAGGCCTCAAAGGAAATACTTAGGAAATGATGTTGAGAGCATCATTCAGGATACATAACAGTGAAAACCAAGTTTTATCTGCCAGCCTAAGGACATATGTAGAAATATTTAAAATAGTACTTGGCTGAAGATAGGAATAAGGCAAACATTGTTTTTTAGGGAATAGACTCTAAAGATGTATAAACAAATATGAGAAAGGCGCAAACCATTTCCTATAAGGAAGGCAGAGAATGTGTGTCTGGTGGTATATTTCAAGGTATAAGCATTTGCTCTTTGGAAAGTAGCCTTTTAAAGAGAGTGACTTAAAAGATAGTTATAAATGAATGAAGGGGAAAATTGATCAGTAAATAATGCAACCAGCATAATTAATAGGCAAGGATAAAATAATTCAAATAGATCTGACTGGAGATGGTGGCTCACGCCTATAATCCCAGTGCTTTGGGAGGCCAATGCAGGAGAATCACTTGAGGCTAGGAGTATGACACCAGCCTGGACAACATAACGAGACCCCTGTTATACAAAAACAAATATATTAGCTGTGTGTGGTGGCATGTGCCTGTAGTCCTACCTACTTGGGAGACTGAGGCAGGGGATGGGAAATGATTAGGCCCAGCCACTGCCTTCATTTTCATCTCATGCTGTGTGAATAGACAAGTAATGTCATTATGGCTGATTAAATTGACCCTGAACAGAAACAGATCTTGGATCAATTGAAAAAAGGAAGGCTGTTTATATATATACATTATAAGTGCAATGTACATTGTTGGGGAGATGGACACGCTTAAAGCTCTGACTCGAGGGGGGAGCAAAGGCAATAGCAATGTATGTAACCTTAACATTTGTACCCCCATATTATACTGAAATAAAAAAAAATAGAAAAAGAAAAAACGAAGGCTGCTCTAGATCCAGAAAATCTTAAGTGTTAGGAGAAGTGTCTGTTTATAAAGGACATAAGCATAAGATTAAACAGTTTTAAGGAAGGAAATAATACCATGATGGTTGGGACCAAGCTTTCACTTCCTCTTCCGTTGAAGGTTGCTTGCCTTATACAGAAGCTTTCAAAACTAAGTGGTAACGAGCCTCTATAAAACTTTGTTTTCCTAGTCTCAAGCTGCCCACTCGTGGTTTGAGAACTGTCATTGTTGTCACTTGGAGTGGAAAAAGAGTATTTTGCTTAGAGGAGTTTATTCTACTCCCCACACGTGTATCATAGCATTTAGCCCAGCAAATATTGCTGAATTGTGGACTGAATTATTCATCATAGTCTGGCTTCTGCTTCTTGAATTTATGACACTATTTGAAGATGAGCATGTTAAATAATAATTTAACCTACTCTTTTTTTTGAGACAGAGTCTTGCTTTGTTGCCCAGGCTAGAGTGAGTGCCATGGCATCAGGATAGCTCACAGCAACCTCAAACTCCTGGGCTCAAGCAATCCTGCTGCCTCAGCTTCCCGAGTAGCTGGGACTACAGGCATGCGCCACCATGCTTGGCTAATTTTTTCTTTATATATTAGTTGGCCAATTAATTTCTATTTATAGTAGAGACAGGGTCTCGCTCTTGCTCAGGCTGGTTTTGAACTCCTGACCTTGAGCAGTCCGCCCACCTGGGCCTCCCAGAGTGATAGGATTATAGGCGTGAGCCACCACGCCCAGCCTTAACCTACTCTTAATATTAATAGCTGCCTCTTTCTGTCTTCCTGCATCCTCATGACCTAAAGTGTTTTGTCTGGGGTAGAAGTTTCCTTTTATAGTTAGTGTTTGTTTGTTTTTATTTAGTTTCCAGAACCAAAGCAAGAAACCAGGAACATTGTTTTTCTCTGAACTTTGTGATATTTGGCAAATGATTCCCTTATTTATGCTTTTGTTTTTGCATCTGTAAAATGGAAATAATAATACCTAGTACTTAGAAAGTGTCTGTGTGCATCTGGGAAATACTTAAATTAGCAATATATTACTTATTCCAAAGTACTAGTAGTGATAAAAATGAATCCAAAACCTTTTCCAGTGCTCTTTGCATTTTTGAAGAACGGAAAGTTATTTAAATAGAACCATCTTTGGATAATATATGAGGATTTCAGAGAAAGGGAGATCATGTTGTAGTCTCAATAGCAAATTAAGTTTTGATTATGGTAAGATTATTGAAATCTTACCACTAATGAAATGATTTAAATATATTCAGTAGGGTCCGGGTGAGGTGGCTCATGCCTGTAATCCTAACACTCTGGGAGGCCAAGGTGGGAGGATTGCTTGAGTTTAGGAGTTCGAGACCAGCCTAAGCAAGAGCAAGACCCCATCTCTACTATAATAGAAAGAAATTCGCCCAACAACTAAAAATAGAAAAAATAGGGCCGACCGCGGTGGTTCATGCCTGTAATCCTAGCACTCTGGGAGGCTGAGGCAGGCGGATTGCTCGAGGTCAGGAGTTCGAAACCAGCCTGAGCAAGAGCAAGACCCCCGTTTCTACTATAAATAGAAATTAATTGGCCAACTAATATATATAGAAAAAATTAGCCGGGCATGGTGGCGCATGCCTGTAGTCCCGGCTACTCAGGAGGCTGAGGCAGTAAGATTTCTTGAGCCCAGTTTAAAGTTGCCGTGAGCTAGGCTGATGCCACGGCACTCACTCTAGCTTGGGCAACAAAGTGAGACTCTATCTCAGAAAAAAAAAAAGAAAGAAAAAGAAAAAATTAGCCAGGCACGGTGGCATGTGCCTGTAGTCCCAGCTACCCAGGAGGCTGAGACAGTAGGATCGCTTGAGACCAGGAGTTTGAGGTTGCTGTGAGCTAGGCTGATGCCTCAGCACTCTAGCCCAGGCAACAGAGTGAGACTGTGTCTCAAAAAAAAAGAGAGAGGGATGTTTTGGGAGGGGCACAGTTTGAGGAGAAGGATAGTAATAGGCAGAGCGATGATGTATGTGGTTTGAAGTACTTAATTTTAGACACAAACTCCCATTTCCCGTTGTCAGTGCCTTCTAGCCAAACGCTATCAGGGACCCACCTATGGTAGAACAAGTTAGATATAATTGCTCATTACACATAGGGAGAACCTGCACCATAGGGAAGAGAGGACCTCTCAGTAAGAGTGTTAGAAAGGACTTAAAAGAATGGGGATTGGGCCGGGCAAGGTGGCTCACACCTGTAATCATGGCATTCTGGGAGGCTGAGGCGGGCAGATCCTTTGAGCTCAGGAGTTTGAGACCAGCCTGAGCAAGAATGAGACCCTGTCTCTACTAAAAATAGAAAGAAATTAACTGGCCAACTAAGAATATATAGAAAAAATTAGCCAGGCATGGTGGTGCATACCTGTAGTCCCAGCTACTTGGGAGGCTGAAGCAGGAGGATCTCTTGAGCCCAGGAGTTTGAGGTTGCTGTGAGCTAGGCTGGCGCCATGGCACTCTAGCCTGGGCACAGAGTGAAACTCTGTCTCGAAAAAAAAAAAAAAAAAAGAGAATGGGGATTGTGTCAGGCGATTTGGGATAAGCCTTAAGGAAATAGGACTTTGCTCCGGGTCAAATACTGTCAGGATGGGGGAAATTTCTGTTTGGGTATCTTAATCTTATCTAGGAGGAGGTTAAAGCTATCATTTGTAAAGATGAAGCAGTCACTCAGATTAAAGGGATGTTTCATCTTTTTGTGGTTTATTATTTTTTATTTGTATAAATTTATGTGATATAAGTATAATTTTGTTTTACATGCATAGAGCCTCATAGATTGTATAGTGGTGAAGTCAGGGTTTTTAGGGTATCTATCACCACAGTAATATACATTGTACTCCTTGAATAATTTCTTATCATATACCCCTGTCCCACTCATCCTTTTGAGTCTCCATTGTTTATCATTCCAGTTGTACACATTTGGTACACTTTACATCCATTTGTACACATTATGTAGCTCCCACTTATAAGTGAGGGCGTGTGGTGTTTATCTTTCTGGTTGAATAGTATTCCTTTTTGTGGTTTAGACAGTGTTCATGTTTTGGTCTCTGTTCTGCTATGATAATACAGTGGCCTTGTCTGGTATATTTGTTATGTGAAATTATTTATGTTCATCAGAATACCAAGCCAAGCTAACTTTGGATGTCAAGGTTGCTTTTTTCTTTTTTACCATCTCCCAAAGTAATGGTCAGAGATATATATACTGTTGACTTCACAGATGGACTTGGTGGATCATAACGAAGCAGACAGATGAGTTTTGGCTACTGTTTTCTGGCAGAAGTGAGGGAGAACTTTGAGACTGCCTAATTTCACAGGTGGAGTGGAATAGTAGGCACCAGGGTTGAGAAAATAGTTATAATATTATGTCCATGAGTTTACATATTCAGATTCTTGAAATAATAAAAGAAGAATATAAAATTCAATTTGAAACACAGGGAGGCAAAATATGATTAAGTGTGGGAGTTTTGCTCTGGCCATATTTTTATTTGTTTCCCTTTGTCTTACTATTTTATTTTCCCAAAGGGATACAACCTTTTACAAAGTGCTTTAAAATGCTTGCAGAATTCCTTGGGCCCCACCCTGTGTATGTCTCTTTATTTTTCGATCTGCATTGACAGGTTAACGGTATTCTTAACTGAATGATATATTTATATTTTGTAGTTAGGCTAGTAATCTGCTAATTAGCCTCTTTTTTTTCTGGTAGTTTGGTCATTTTCACAATATTAATTATTCTAATCCATGAACATGTGATGTCTTTTCCATTTTTTGTGAAC